GTGACCTATACTGCACGTTTACTACCAGACTAAAACTTACTGCTAATATTTTTCACCGTCAAGTTCTGCCGCTCGCTCTCTGTCATTCACTCGGCCACACACACAGGATACACAGAGAGCAGCCAAGCGTTGAGTGTCACCATGTTCACACAGAGTAAAAATCATTACTTACGCATTGATATTTAAGATTGTGTGACATTTTAGTGGGATGGTTATTCATTCCGCAGCGGTGGTGTGCCGAATACAGGGCTGCGGTAGAAAAGTCAAAACAATCTCCTTTCCTAACCACCTTTCCTTGACCTCAATAGAAAACGTCATGAAGAAGACCGCGGATCTAAGAGAATCCTTTTCCAAGCGACATAATTATGCAACGGCGGATACTGACGTGACCTGCCGTGCTGCAACTATAATGTTCTGAAGATGGACTACAAAAATCTTTGACACTATGCCCCGTGTTGTTTTCATGAAGGCCATTTAAAGGTGGACAACATGGTCAACAAGGCCTGTAGGCTACCATAATGGAAAGGGTTGTCACATTTAGAATGATTGCTCACCCTCCTGCCCAGCCATATTTATCAACATGAATCCCAATTATTGTCTGTAAACGCAGTGTTTCTAACAGAATGACAGCATAACTGTGGCAAGAGAGAGAGAGCGACTGCGCTGACTGCGCTGTGCGCAGCTCTGCAATCCAATATGATTTTACCCATAGCCTAGTAAAAAAAAAAGGATAATCGCAAATCAATAAGTGGCGGTGAGTTCTGATAATGTGGCAAATAAATCAATGTGTGAGACACTGAAATAATACATTAAATTTACTGTAGACGTTATCCGGCTTGGTTATTGTCTTAAGGCAAGGGTGTCAGCATCTGTGACTGTAGTAAAATTAATTAATGATATTGCTGATGGCTGGCTATACATAACTTGAGCCTACATGCTGCAACATTATCCTCACAGTTTAAGACGAATGCATATTGACGAGTTATGGCATAAGAGAGCAAAGGCTTAATAACCAATGGTAACTCGATCAGCACCCTATTTGAAACAGCATTAGATTACAGCAAAGTGAAAAAGAAAAAAAACAAAAGAAAGAAGGAAATTGTGGGTGTCTTATCCACGTATAATGTGCATATGTAGCCTATTGCAAGGATTTAGCTAAATGTGGTCAATGGATTTTATCGTTTGAGTTTGAGAATGTGCGTCTCTTTAAATGCTGCTGCAGCAAGGAATTGTGGGATGACATTATCTCCTTTCCTTTTGTAAAGGATGGTCCGGTGTACCCTATGCTAAAGGAAATAAGAAAGGAAGCACTGAAGCACCTTTCCTTAGCTTTTAGAGAATTCGGCCAGCTCTTATCATGGCTGCCACTGAAATATTTGCCGGTCACTTCACTCAATTAGGAACCTTCCTAAGAAAAAAAGGCTTTTTGACCGCAGCCCTGGTCTCTCTGTTGTCTGTGCACCACAGACAGTCTGGGCGCTGCACTTCCGCGAGTTCTCTTTTTGCTTTCCATCAACATTATGTTATCAATTAACATTTAAATAATCAATTTTTTGACATTTGTTAATTGAGTCAGGACCCTAATTTTTTATCTTACCAGGAGCTTAAGGCATCTGTGTGTCTCTGTGAAAGTGATTGACAAGCGCTTGGGGAAGCTCTACTTCTTCATTCTCTCATTTTGGACTGAGGGCAGTTTGGACACTACAATGACTCAGTATCACCTCTCGAGGCACAAGTGGTATTACAACACAGCACGGGCCGGGGCTAACTGATTAGCGTGCTCATTTGAGTAGAAATCTTTATAACACAGTACACAACATCAGAACTGTTACTTTTTCACATTTAGTTCACGTTTTAATGTTTTTACAAAACTTATGGCCAAACCATATCTGTCTAACACATTGTACCTTTAAGGATGTTTTTTTAGAGTATATGGGGAAACCAATTTCAGCTGCAAAAGTACACACACAGCTTATGAAATATCATGACAGCTGTCTGAGAGGAGGCAGTATTATCTCCAATTAGAGCGTCTTGTGACTGCAGCTTGTCATCATGGGTTATCTTGAACAGCACAATGAGGCCCTTCACAAGATTTCCTACAGACTTACTTGTATTACTTTATTAAACTTATAATTATGCTTGTTTTATTTTGGAAAAGAAAACCTCCGTTGCCAGCTTAATTACATCAAATTGAAAAAAGTTTTCTGCATAACTATATAAACATTTCCTTAACTCAGCCTGACATATTCAGTATCAAGAAAAACTTTGTGATCTTTTGTCAAATTTAAAATACAATTCTGTGGGTTTGAACGATGTTGGCCCACTCAAAATGCATTTGTAATGATCCTCCCACTGAGGGATCTGTGGGCTGGACGAGGTTAAGGATAGATTGCCAAATGCAAGGGGTGAGGACAGGCAGTACGTTATGTGTGTGTGCGCTATAAACACGTGTGTGACAAAGATATAAGTTTGGCCCTAGGAAGTGGGTTAGAGAAGTGGTGTGCTTTAATGTGTGTGGTCATTTGGGCTAGAGAGAAATTTACAGTATGTTGAAATGATAGAAACATATCAGAGACAAGATGGATGGGTGAACAGATGGGTGGCTGATGCTAACACTTTGTAGCAGTCATCTCATCAATTTCTGCAAGAAGTTTGGCTTGTTTTTTACTCCACAGTCTCTAAGGGCACAGTTTTAGTTAGTTTGACTGAATCAGTGCAACAAGCACCAGTATTATTCCGTAACTATAGCAGCATGAATGAGCAAAACAGCAGTATACATCACAATATGAACTCACTGCCACTGACGATTACAGTGTGGTCTCTGGCAGTTCAGCCGTTTGTCAACGTATAAACGAAAATTAGCACTGGGCAATAAAATGTTTTATTTATCTCATGTAGTAAAATACACTCACCTAAAGGATTTTTAGGAATACCTGTTCAATTTCTCATTAATGCAATTATCTAATCAACCAATCACATGGCAGTTGCTTCAATGCATTTAGAGGTGTGGTCCCGGTCAAGACAATCTCCTGAACTCCAATCTGAATGTCAGAATGGGAAAGAAAGGTGATTTAAGCAATTTTGAGCGCGGCATGGTTGTTGTTGCCAGACGGGCCGGTCTGAGTATTTCACAATCTTCTCAGTTACTGGTATTTTCACGCACAACCATTTCTAGGGTTTACAAAGAATGGTGTGAAAAGGGAAAAACATCCAGTATGCAGCAGTCCTGTGGATGAAAATGCCTTGTTGATGCTAGAGGTCAGAGGAGAATGGGCCGACTGATTCAAGCTGATAGAAGAGCAACTTTGACTGAAATAACCACTCGTTATAACCGAGGTATGCAGCAAAGCATTTGTGAAGCCACAACACGCACAACTTTGAGGCGGATGGGCTACAACAGCAGAAGACCCCACCGGGTACCACTCATCTCCACTACAAATAGGAAAAAGAGGCTACAATTTGCAAGAGCTCACCAAAATTGGACAGTTGAAGACAAAAATATTGCCTGGTCAGCTGAGTCTCGATTTCTGTTGAGACATTCAGATGGTAGAGTCAGAATTTGGCGTAAACAGAATGAGAACATGGATCCATCATGCCTTGTTACCACTGTGCAGGCTGGTGGTGGTGGTGTAATGGTGTGGGGGATGTTTTCTTGGCACACTTTAGGCCCCTTAGTGCCAATTGGGCATCGTTTAAATGCCACGGCCTACCTGAGCATTGTTTCTGACCATGTCCATCCCTTTATGGCCACCATGTACCCATCCTCTGATGGCTACTTCCAGCAGGATAATGCACCATGTCACAAAGCTCGAATCATTTCAAATTGGTTTCTTGAACATGACAATGAGTTCACTGTACTAAAATGGCCCCCACAGTCACCAGATCTCAACCCAATAGAGCATCTTTGGGATGTGGTGGAACGGGAGCTTCGTGCCCTGGATGTGCATCCCACAAATGTCCATCAACTGCAAGATGCTATCCTATCAATATGGGCCAACATTTCTAAAGAATGCTTTCAGCACCTTGTTGAATCAATGCCACGTAGAATTAAGGCAGTTCTGAAGGCGAAAGGGGGTCAAACACAGTATTAGTATGGTGTTCCTAATAATCCTTTAGGTGAGTGTACATCCCACTCACTATGATGTCTCATGAGGCCCAGATGAAAAGACTAGCATGTCGTAGTTCTTATGCTGTCATTTGCCTAGTTTGACAACATCCACAATTGTTATACGTGATGCCACGATTGTAGACATTCCTGATCCAGGATTTCTAGCTCTTGCCCCCCCTGTCCAAGCTTGCAGGCCATGAAAAACTATATGCTATTAGGGCTGAATGATTTTGAAAAAATATCTAATTGCAATTGTTTTGACTGATATTGCAATTTTTACATAATTATTCTCACAAACATATTTAAATGATTATGGTGTGACTTTTGCAAAGATCAGCACCAAACAAAGATGTTTTCCTAAGTCTTTAGTATATGATGTGTAGGCCAGGACGTTTCAGCAGCACGTCAATATTTAGTTTAAAGTGGTATTTTGACACATAATTAGCCTTTAACAAATATTGCACCTCCTGCGATTTGAAAACTGCTGTTGGCTGTGTTGGGATTTTGATAAGATTTTGATTAGTTGTTCATCCCTGTATGCTCTGAACGGTCAGGGTTCAGTATGTAGTCCATCTCTTGGATAAGTCATGGCAGGACTATCATCGCTTAATCTGACATTGTGACTTTCTCAAAAGACATAAATGGCATCTAGTCTGATCCTGACATTACGGCTCAGTCAAACCAACATCAAACATGGCACAGATATTTCAAAACCAAATTCAATAAATGGTAATGGAATAGTTGTGAAAAGTGGATTTACTCATGCAGGGAAGTAAATCTCAATCTACTGAGTTAAACTTGTTACGGTTACATAGATAGACATTGCATTAATTGTCTATACACGTTTGACCAATTACTCTCTTCCTCTGTCTTTCTCTGTTTCCTTTTCTAGATGTTGGAGCCTAAGGTGGATGCCCCTTCATGTGAGCTGGGTGGAGTAGGCGGAGATCGAGATGTATGCCTCCACCTGCCCCCCCGCAGTTCGGAAGGTGAGGAAAGCAGCCTGTATCCCTCCAGTCCCTCAGAGCCCCCGACCCTGGGCAGTCCTCACCCCTCAGAGCCTGTCACCCCGTTGGATGAAATCTACATGCCCCTTGGGGGTCTAATGGGATCCGAGGAGCGACATAAGGTCCCTCCAACCCCACCTCCTTCCACCGAGGGTGAGGACTGCAAGAGTATGGAGGGGAACGAGATGGACATCTGGAGAGAGGGGAAGGATGGGGACAGCAGGAGAGAGGAAGATGAGGAGAATGAGGATGGGGCCAGCAGAAAGAGTCCAGGGAGTGAGGGGGAAGAGAAAGAAGAGACGGGAGAGAGGAATGAAGAGGAAGTTGACCTAAACTTGATGGTGTCAAACACAGATGAAGATAACGCCTCTGAGCCACCTGACACCAACGCCCCCCCCTCGTCCTCCTCATCCTCATTTGTCATCCCCGAGTTGCGCCTTGATCGCTCCTTTAGTGCCGATGCCCTCTCCTCACCCAACACCGATGAAGAAGAGTACGATGAAGATGAAGACGAGGAGTCTGAAGAGGAGGACGATGAAGATGACAGTGACGATGCCTACCTGCAGCGCAGTGACAGCAAGCGCCGCAGCATGGTGGAGGGTGCCACTTGTGAGAAGCATGGAGGAGGGGGCCTCAGTGTGCAGAATTCCCTCCGCAGGCGCACCCACAGTGAAGGGAGCCTTCTGCAGGACCCCCGCCAGCCTTGTTTCACCTCCGACAACGCCATCAACTGCCTGGAGGCAGGGGGAGCGCACCACAAGGGCGGTTGGACGCTCCCATCACCTAAAACTCTGAAGAAAGAGCTAACCAAGAATGGAGGCTCCATGCATCAGCTGTGTATGCTGTTTTCTGGGAGGAAGGTAAGCAGCTTCACACTGAAAAAATAACTATATACTGAGTCATACAGGGATAAAGTTATCTGATAAAGTTATATGATTATATTGTCATTCATAACAGGTAGGGGAAGAGACTGTGAGGATGTGGTTTCATCCTTTTTGTAGTACTTCAGTTTTTCTTCTAACCTCACACACTATGTGAAATGTGTAATACAGCTCTGTCTATGTATCTCCTAACTATTGCACCAGCAGTGCTCAGCAGGTCTAGCAGCTCAGCCCAAAGTTTCAAGTTTTAACTGGTTTCTGTAAAAAGGGTGACATCAAGTGGTAAAATAGAGCAAGTACACAAGAATCATATGGGTGTTGTTAAAATCAAACAAGGTTATCTACAACAAAATGCCATAGTGATTTCCAAAACCATAGACTCATACATATACTGTACATAAACAGCAGACATTGTAGCAGTTGTTTGCCAGTACAGTCTTGAGTCTGAATATACAGTACTATTCATTGAACAAAGTCTAAAAATATTGATTAATTGCATGGCGGCATTACTTTTCAACAATTTTCCTAACTGGAGTTTTATAAATATATGTAAGATGCGTTTAAGTACCGTATGCGGATTATTGATTGTTAAAAAAAGCAGTCAGTCTCATTTACACAGCACAGTTAGCTTGTAGAAAATGTTATGTTAACCTAAAACAATTACACACATGGTTTAAGGGAGGGAGGGTGAAATAGGACAGACTCAACTAGATATCCAACCTCTTCAGCAAAGTTGCAGCTTTTCACACTGTTTTACATACTGACACTATAAAACAAAACGCAACAAAGACACTAGAAACCAAAAGAGTATTTGGGCCTGCTTTCACACAAACTGCACATTCATTTATAAAACACTAACATCACTTGATAAGAAAGCACAAACAAATGAATGCTTACATACAGACAGCTTTGTTGTTTAGTGTACAAAAGGCAGATCATTGTACTGAATTTGTGAAATAAAAAATGGCCTTGTGTATTGTTTTAGTTGTATACACTTATGCCATTATGTACATTACGTAGTAATGTACGTATAGATTGTGGAAACAAATTTCCTGAAAAGGACAATAAAGAATCTAATCTACTCTAATTAGCATCTGTAGCAGAATTTATGAGAATATTATTATGAAATTATGACTATGAATTGATTGATAACTTTTACAGCAGTGTGCATATTCTTACCATTGTGTATTGTTTGTAGCATCTGAAATTTTAAAAGGATTTGTGCACAGAATATGCCGTTCTTTTTAGTGCAGGTAGTAGTTGTTCCAGTTGTCCAACAGAGGGAAGCATGCAACTGTTAGGGCAGCAGCCTCACATAAGCGTGCATCATATTTTTTCTCATTTCACTTTGGCCAAGGTTGCGTAATGAACAATGATTAAGAAATGTCAGTGTGACTCGTTTTGTTTTTAACTATGAAGTAATGTGTTAATATTTCTCTAGAATTATTACACTTTCACTGGAATACAGACAGGTCGTCAATTCATGCAATGATTTCTTCCAACAACGCTATTTATAGTAGTCTGCACACCTGCACAACTTTTTCATCAGTATGCATTTGGCATAGACTGCTTCTCAAAACAAGAGTGCAGACGAATGGAGAGAAATAGACGTGGGAGAACATGACAGTGATATCGGAGCTCCACAGACTAACGATATACAAATGACAGGGGCTATCTAGTGCTCACTCTGTCATTGTGGAATATCAGAAGCACTTCTCTTTTTTTATCTAGCTCTCCTTCTACAAGTCTGTCAGCACACTCTGTAGCCTTAAATGGCAGTGTGTGTATGAGTTCTGCAGAGGAGGAATGCAGCAGACAGGGCTGGAGCCTATTGGTCTTGGCAGATTCAAGGGTAATTTTACTACCTATTGGCGTCATGGACACAGTTCCTTTAAGACTTGTGTTCCATTATCCCCTAAGTGTGATCAGTAGTGTACAGGTGATGGGGTAAACATATGAAAAGGAAAAATTTTATCAAAAGTTTGTAAAGTTGTTTGATATCAACAACATGAAATAATCCTTTCTTTCCCTTCAAATATACTGATTCCAGTTCTGATCAGATGTACAGAAACAGTGCAAAGTAAGCTTGGAAGGACTTGTTTTTCATCATTTTAGTCTTTTGGGTTGTGTACAATTAATCATTTAGATGCAGCGATTGACCAAGTTGAGTTCCCAGATTTTACTGAAGCTTAAGTCCATTTAATATTACCATTTGAGTTACTTTGTAATTCAAGTTTGACATTGTTTTCACTTGGGATTCATACAACATTAGTTATCATGAAATATAATTCACCATGATTTATGCAAGACACGTCTTCTGGATGCGCTGGGACACATCATCATTGATGTAACAGTGATTGAAACACTGACACTTTGACTTTTGACTGAAAACGATACAGTGGGGAATCAAGACTGTTCAAAGATTTGTGCAGCGCTGTTTGTGTTGTGCATATATGCATTATAGAGACAGAGAAGCATGACAGAGGAACAGAGACAGTGTGAACCTACTGTCTCTCTTTTCATAATGTGAAGCCCCTGCCCCCACTTCTCTGTTTCTTTCTGTCTGTCAACTCTTTTCTCATGCCAGGCAGTGTTTACTTGCCCTTTAACAAGCACTGACTCTAGTCCTTTCTGTCTTTCCGCTCTGCGCCTTTTCTTCTCACTTGATGTCTTTGGTGGCCTATCATCAATGCAAGGAGAGCCAGAGACAGACAGAGAGCGGGTCAAAGGAAATAAAGTCAGTGTGTTTGACTAAGAGAATTTTCTTGACTACCGCTTAACAGAAACTGTGTTATTTGATAAAGTGATTCATTAACAAAAAGTCAACTGATTGTATTTTAAAAAAGGGGACTACATGCAAAACATATAGTAGAATTTGAAAGTTTGATGTGGCTCATCTGTGTCTGCATTGTTCAAGTCTATATCTGTCATGTCATCATTATTTAAATTGGGTGTGATCTAACAATAAGTTTACCACAAAAAGGCCTATAAAAGAGATCACTAAATAGTTCAGGATGTGGAGGAAGGGGGGGGGGAGGGAAAGAGAACAATACTTGTCGAAGAATTGAAGAATTCTTGTATACCACATGCATATTTCACCTTATGGATAACCTTATACTAGCCTGGAATGGCAACATATTTTGACAAATAAACGCAGGTCTCAATTAGAAACCTGGTCTGGATTTTATAGAAGTTCTCTGGATGCCCACCGTGTCACCCACTTGAGCAAGTTTAAGCTGCTTAGATTGCCATGCAAACATAAATGTTTAAACTTTTACACATCGTAAGATCAGTAAGATTCTCCACAACTCAATCTTTCAGTTCATTTTACCAAAACAATGAGCACCAAAGTAGAATTCATTCAGATTTACAGGTATGGTCAGTCTCTCTCTCTCTCTCTCTCTCGCTCTCTGTGCATAAGATTGGCTTAGATGGCTGTCTCTCAGAACTAGATCAAATGAATGCTTAATAATTGATATATTATCCAATAGCCACATTTCTATACAATATTCACACTGGTTGAAATAAACAATTTGCTGAGCGAAACTTTTGTGCGAAAGTAATAAAAGCCCTGCATAGACACTAAACTCACCCAAATATAGGCAGGTTGAGTTTAGTGATTGAAGAAAATAAAAGCTTGGGCTATTAATTGAAGTTTTACGGTAAAATCAAAATAGAAAATGGGAGCTATACATTATACACACCTTTCATTTATACAGATAGCAGCAACTTCTGGAACAGGAGTTTCATCAGTTTACATTGGAAAATTTGATGAGAAAACAACCTCTGCTAAAAATTTGCTCAGACTGATAACGATAGCACAGTCTGCCCATCAAATGGTGAACAAACACAGAATAATCAGCTGCACTGACATTTGCCACCTTGTTGAGAACAGTTTCAAATCTGCTGTTAAGGCACCATGTAAAACCTCTTTCAAATGACGCAGGCCAATATAGAGACTAGCATTGGTTAAAGAAAATATGAGCTACTAGAGCTGTGGCTGGACTATAAAGGTCCACAAAGAATGTTTTGCTTCTACAGTACCTTTAAAACAGTTATGTAGTAAAACAACAAAAAAGGAAATTTAAAGGAATGATAGTCCAGAAATTAAAAAAGTGCAGCCTCATTGGAACTTTGGAGACTTAAAAATTCTAATTTCATCACAAAGCGACAAGAAGCATGCCGTCATATTAGACTAAACCACTGCATATTCTTTCCAATCAGACCATTAAATTAAACTCTCATCTCGCTGTCCAAACCCTCAAATCCTTCCTCTTTTTCCAGACATCACAACCATCCATCATCTTGTTTCAGTTTGTGAATGTGCTGCATCCACACAGACGTTGTTGTTGCAATAGACACGTGTGGATCTGACCCCAGTGCTTTTTGTTTATGGGGTCTGGATGTTTGTTTGATATCTGGATAAATATCGTCTGTCTTTCCAAACTGTGTGTTTACTGATGGTTGTGTGATGACTTTACATTCCTGTGTTGTTTCAAGGATACGCAAGGGTACATAGATTAAAATTAAAATAGTTTAGCATGCATTCATACTTGAAAACAGGTGTGCTAACAGGTGGTGTGGCCTGTGCGCTCACTCACACACACACACACACACACACACACACAATTGAAAGAGAACTACTAATCAGGTAGAGGAACATTTGCTTCTGTCCTTCCATTTACAATCCAAACAGTAGATACTTTTGGTCATTAATAGCATTTTTATAATAGTAACAACAGGAAGCAGATGAAATAACTTTTTGGGGGCTTGAACTCAAAATTCAACACTCAAGTAGGCAATTTCCATGTACAGTTTTTTTTTTTTCATTCACTTTGTTACTATTTTCAGAACCTTGATGTCATTTTTCACAACTCTAGACACAAAACTCACATTTTTCAAAACTCTAAAACTCTTAACCCTTTTCTCAATTGCTTGGATACAATACACAAAACTTAGATCATTTGTTCATTCAACAAAAATCACCTGTTCAATATGACACAACTTATCAAAGTACTACTATTTCAAAAGGCAATTCACACATTACATTTCAAATGTGTCTATTCATTTCCTTACAATGATCTAACCATCTGTGACGATTGGACAGAGAGGCAGAGGTGAGTGAACCTGGCGGGAGGAAACAGACAGACAGAGTTAGCGGGTGACGAGGAGGTGAGACAAAGGGAAATTTCATAAAATGCCAGAACGAAGCGGTGACACCAAGTCAGGAGCTGCGACGATCGAGCGAGGATGGAGTGGAAAGCTGGGGTAGAAATACTGGTCGTGAGAGGGTTGATGGCTGGCAGGTGCGGCGGCCGGGGATGGAGGTTAACGAGGAGCAGGTGTGGGTAGCTAGCCGGGCTCCGGAGCGGAGAGGGGGAGAGCACACAGAGAGAGAGAGAGAGAGGGAGAAGGCACAGGAGAAACCAGAATGCGAGGGAAAGGAGAAACAGGACACTCACCAACAGCCGGGCTGTCACCGCGACAACTATCAATTGATACAACTGCTCAAAATGATAAGTAACTGTTGCATTACTCTTAATGCATAGTTGTATGGAAACAGACAAACAATCTTCCATGTTTACAGTAAATCATGAAAGTTTCAAGATAACGAGATTCATTGCCACCAATTAGCGTGGAGTATGAACCAATTAGACTACAATATCCATGGATGTAGCCTAATATTTTATCATACTGTAATGCTTCATCAGACACTGTGTCTATGGTCCCAAATACTGTACCACCTTTTCAGACTATTTACAGTATTGACAGTACTGCACTGTATAGATGCAGGCCCTTGTAATTGCTTGTCCAATTCTGCCAGCTCGTTACTAATGATTGAGTGCACATTGTGGAATAAGTATATAAAGAGTTGATTGGGATCCAATTGCAAGAGCATAGTAATACGTAACATGGAGCCAGCAGGTGATACAGGTCACAGTGGAGGTCAAGCAGTGGTGGGAGGAAGACGAGGAAGACTTGTTGGTCAAAGGAGGTGGTCGTGGGCCTTGTTTAAGAGGTGTGGTGGGACGCAGACCTCATATTGGACCATATAATGCAGCTCTCCTTGTCACCTTTCTTGATGAACTCAATCAGGTTTGTAGAGCTGAAGGTGTGACCTATATCATTGTGTGGGACATTGTCAGGTTCCCTTCCTTAACCCGATTGAGGAATTTTTCTCCGCATGGAGTTGGAAGGTTCATGACAGGCACCCTCATGAACAAGTCACTCTTCTCCAGGCCATGGATGACTCCTGCAATGACATCACAGCAGACCAGTGTCAGGCCTGGATTCGCCATGCCCAAAGGTTTTTTCCAAAATGTTTTGCTAATGAAAACATCCATTGTGATGTAGATCACAACACAGAGTTGATGACAGTGTAGAAGTACAGTAATCACTCCTGTTTTGTTTCTTACAGTACAAGCAAGCAAGTTGAGGAACACTTGCTTGCTTGTCTTTTGTTTTCTATTTCATAGCTAATTATTTTTGCTTTGATTCAAATAAACCTATGTTGTGATTGTACTGTAGTGTTTTGCATCAATATATTACAAACTTTGATCAACGATTCCACTGTGTCTGTAGTATTCTCTCTACTACTGCAGTACTTTTACAGAGATGTGTTTACATGTAGTACCATAATGAAACCTGTATCACCTATTTTTGTTCTACAATATTTAATGATTGTACGAACAATGACGCAGTGAAACTATCGATTGCTTGTGTGTTGGGTGATCTATAGTTATGTTTCAGTGGTATTTCACAGTAAATTTGTTTTTTGAACCAATGATTGTGCAAGATTTCCTTAAAGATGTGAATGCACAATGCAATGTTTTGATCATTAGACAGCCTGTGTTCCAAGTGATAACCGTTTTGAGTTTTGTGTCTGGAGTTGTGAAAAATGACATCAAGGTTCTGAAAATAGTAACAGTGAAAGTGAACTAAAGTAAAAAACTGTAATGTTGGAGCACTGCGCACACAATCAGTCCATCTGTCAGAAACAGACCTTTAGGCTAATACACAACCAGATTGATGTTCTGCTGTAAATTAAATATTGTTGCTATAACTTGGTCATAAAAGAAGACTGAAACACAAATAAATGATTTAGGCCACTTTCAGAACTGCAGGAAACACAACATTAAGCTATATTTGCTTCATCATATAACTTCATCAATATAACTGACTCACCTTTGTCCTTACACAATATCAAATAGCATTCATTTATAGTTGTTTTACCTTAGAAAAATACCTTTAATTACAGCATAAATGCATAGGGTAAAGTACAAAAACTTGTTTATAACAACATGTTAGTGAGTATTGCACCTTCCGAGAATAGTGTTTCTTCAAATTCCCGGACCTCCACTAGATGTCTGTTGCACTGTGATAAGCAGGATAAACAGTTAAAAGAACCTAAACACGCTATTTTAGGACCACATAGAAAAATATTAGTAAACTTCGTGTACTGTTACATCATCATCAAGTACCTCAGATATGTGTCTAGGCTCTCAGCAGTCTTCCAAGACAAAGCTATTAGTGCTGACCTGCATGTTACTTGTAGTTTACCTAATCTTAGCTCAAAGGTTATAGTATGAGAAGGGCACAGCACTTGTTGGTATCAAGACTACGATGTGTGCCTCACATGGATCAGCGTGTGATCCAGAGCTAAGAATAGTATATTTTTTACTGAATGAACTGCACAAGAGGTTCGTGGAAACAATTATACAAGTACTGTGTATCAATGAGAGCCAGTCACATCCCTCCCAAGTGTTCTTTTGTCCAAATATGAAACAAAATAGATAGGTAATTGGCCAAAGTGTACATCAGAATCAGCTGGCCCAGAAGGGACAAAAGGTCTCCAGGGTTCAAATTCATGTGAAACGCAGCCAGGCTGGATACATTCAGTGAAATGCTCAATGAGGAACATGTAAATATTTACTGAGCAGAGTGGACAAGCATTTGGGACAGTCAACAAAGTGTCCGGTCGCCCAAGTATCTGTTGACAAAGATGTGAATGAACTGACTGGGATGTGTTTCAGTTCATGGTGTTTTACGCAACAGTTTACAATCAAATTTCAGTGACTATATCTATCTAGAAAGAAAGTAAGAAAGAAAGAAAGAAAGAGACACATTTTCAGCTTTGTTTCATGGATACATACACATATTAGTGATTCCTTTACAAGTTCTGTTCTAAGATATAACTAAGATACATTACACAACCACACGCAACCAAACGATCATGTCTGTCCTGTCTTTCCATTTCCATTTCATTGTTCCACACAACTCTCTCCATCTCTTGTTAATTTACAACCTTGCTTTGAAAAGGTCAGCCCTCCTTACTTACTGTTGCTACATTAAGTTTTCAAATCAAGCATATGCAGTTTATTTTCATATGCATTAAACAGAGGCCAAAAAAAGCAGGCTTCTCATTTCTTGCCAGCAAATAGGTTTGATAACAAGAGGTTTGACAACATTGTCCACTGTCAGCTGATTTGTCAATGGTGGCCAGCAGATTTTATCAGCTGTAGCTAGTTAGCTTACTTTTTAATGTTTGGTTTCAAATCGAAAACCCACATGATGGCTGTATTCACAATGTAATGCTAAAAGATGCAGGCAAAATCTGTAATCCAACAAAATAATGCACTTCATTTCTAATTCTTTCCTTTTTTTTGAGGTTGCTGCTCACATTAGAGCAGAGAAATACACTGTTTAATCCATTCCCTACACTTTTGTTCTTGCGTTTTTGATTTGGAGATTCAAAAACCTCCAAACTCTTTACATACAGAGTATCGTTCTTACTAGAGCTCCATGCACAGTGCTTCAAAATGTGGTGAAATCCAAAGCTGGACAGGCCTACCTTGCCTAGTTGCAGTTGCTAAACAGTCGTTGGACAATCGCCATTCAGGGGAGGAGTTTACCAGTCAACTGTGTTGTTGTTGTTGTTTTTTTACATCTTGTTTTCTAAATATACACATCTTTCTGGGATGGTGCCTTCTGACTGCTGAGACGTGAGAGATTCTGGCTTCATAGATAGGCAGCCACACTGAGGGAGAGGGAAAATTCATTGCCAGTAGAGCAACTGTGATAACAAATAAGAGTCCTCTGGGATGAGCTATAACTTTCACTTTCTGATTCTGACATTTTATTGTGACTTTGACTGTCAAAGTGAATAACTTCTTATTATATGAATATTTCACATCTGCTTATTACATTTTTTTTTTCCTGCCAAAAGTCAGGATGAAGTCAGAATGAAATGTGGTGCATGAAAGAGTCTTATAGATGAATGGATGGTTGATGAACTAATGAACTATTAATACTACTATTAATATTTTAATTGCTTTATTTCTGTAGTTTTATATTGATATGTATTTATATATACTTTAAATTGAAATTAATTTAAAATAGTATGAAACAGAGACATGGAAAGAGGCATCAAAAATAAATTAAACATTTTCTTGTACACATGAAAAAAACATTTAACCTTAGTTTAATTAAAGGGTTTGAAACTCAAAGTGTGTTAGGAGCGTTTTTGTACTACACCTGCACGGTTATTTAAGATTATTTCCAAAAACAAATACACTTTTGATATTTTTCCCTGACATGAAACCTATTTGTCTTAGCGAATTCAGTAACTCCTTGTCACCTCATGAGAGATTTCCCATGATAATCGTTCTTTGCCAGGGAAGCTCTCACGTGGCCAAAAACTCTCTGTCTCTGTACTACTACTAAAACCCTGAGTAGGTTTCATGTGGACTTTCTCACAAATCCCCACCACAAAGGCAAAGCTAGCGTCCCCCTGTTTATTTGTTAGCAATTGTTGGGCTACCTGGATAGTTACTGTGTGTGTGAGGGGATTGTGGGGAACATCAATTTCATGAAGGTTTCCATCAATTAGCTCTGATATTACTGTATAACAGTGTGAATCGTAAATTTAATAGCTTCCTTTGAAACAGATTCTAAAGTATTATTTGTTCCTGGTTGTTTTCCATCTGAACAGAGGAACAAGAGCAAAATAGAACAAGTCAATCATTGAATGCCAGACACACAGAGGGCTCCCGCTCAGTACTTGTAACTCACTCCACATGGTAAAAGATAGCTTCTGTTCACACTTGCAAACAGTACTGACATTTTACAAAATTAGTGACAAGGCAACATCAGGGGTATTGTTCTACATTTAATGTACATCGAGGAGAGCAAAAGGCTGGAGATGGTTAGACGGAATTATTTAATTTAGCATCAGCTGTTTTGAATAAGCAAACAAAGATGATGACAGTGAACATGACTAATAAAATAACACAAAGGCACATCGCATCCAACGTAGGACTATATGGTAACCAATTTAGGGGAATATACAACAGTTACTATGAGCAATGTACATTTCTTCAGTGACCTTTAAATTTAAACACTGTTCAGGGCTTTGATGATGTCATTATTTCGTAAGACGTGATGGCCTGATGTCACGGCACTTAGTAACTGGACCTTTTTTAGCAGAACCGTGCTTTCTGCCCACCACTGCCCTACAGTGTATGCAGTTAGGTCATTAACTGACAGGACTTTGGACGCTGTCACTGGTACAACAAAGCGCTCTCCTGACGTTCCCCTAATCCAAGAGCGGATCCAGAAGGCCCCTTGTTGCATAGTTGTGTCTTGTGTGTGTGTCAGAAGGTGTTTACAGCGCTCGTTGCCATAGCAGTATTTTGGAAGAATAAGGGCTCGATTACATAAATGTTGATAGATGGTTTCTCGCATATGCACACACACGGACACTGACAATAGACGATGCACTTTGAGCTTGCTCTGTACTCCGGATTTATCAAACGTGCATGCAGTATGGACAAGGAAATTAAAACTGAAATAGTACAGTGAAAAGTGTTCAACCATAAGAATGTTCCTAAACATTGCGGTCATGGTGGAGAGCGAGTATGCCTTCCATCTCCTCCACCTCCTTTTTCAATTTTAATTAAATTATCTTATTTAGAAGGAAAAGGTCTTCAAGTCTCTTAAGATGAAAATTTTATGAAAATTTCTCTAAATGTTTGTGAGATCAGTGTTAATGAACACCTGCAGCACCTAAAATCAGCTATTGCACCACTACCATTTTAGGTAGCCTTTTGCTACTTGTTCACTGTTGTCGAGTGTAGGATACACAACCTTTTGTCCAAAACCCGGTGTGTTCCGTCTCTGCCATAAAAATACATTCAGTAAGATAACAAGAACGCGATGTACTTTATCTGCATGCCAAGCTATGTGGTCCACATCAGAACGCGACCCTGACAGTGATGTTTGAATTTTACACACACAGGACACACACAATTACTCACACTCCCCAGGAGGCAGGAGGCAGGGTGAACAATGCTGGTGGTATGATGGGAGTACACATGCTGTCTTCACAGGATGGAAACAGGTTCAAAGGGAACAACCAGTCCTTGATGTAGAGAAAGGGAAATCAAAGTTCACTCCTTGATGTGACATTGGCAAAAAATTTATTGTGTTGAATAACCTTTTACTGCCTGACACTGCTATGATTACAGGGAGTATGTCCAGCATTTAATTGTACAGCACTACAACACAA